CCCCAAAAATCCCCAAAAACCCCCAAAAACCCCCCAAAACCCCCCAAAACTTCCCTAAAACCCCCCAAAACCCCTTTCAAACCCCCCCCATTTCCCCATATAAGGTCATTTCCCCCATATACGGTCATGGCCGCCCATCTCATTAGCATAGGGGGCGTGGCCCGGGCGCGGGTGGGCGTGGCCTGACGGGCGCCTCGGTGGCCAGCAGGCGGCGCAGGCGCTGTTCGCGGTGGGCGGGGCTTTCTCCGGGTAAGCCCCGCCCACTTCCGGCGGGGAGGTGACGTTGGGCGGCGGCCTCAAGCTCCGCCCCCCGGTAAAAGGGGGCGGGGTCAAGGCCGTGGCGGTTGATGAGGCTGACGAGGTACTCGGTGTAATGGGAGCTGGAATGGACCAAAAACAGCGGAATTTCACCCAAAAAAAATACCCAAAAAATTGAAAAGAAAATGCCCCGAAATTGCCCGGAATTGGCAGAAAAAAATTTGAAAAAATTCCGCAAAAAAATCCCGGAAAAAACCCAAAAAAATCCGCCCAAAAAATCCCAAAATAACCGAAAAAAATCCAGGAAAATCCCATTAAAAATCGCCCAAAATGCCCCAAAAGTTCCCAAAAATAGCCAAAAATTGCCCCAAAAATTGCCCCCAAAATTCCCAAAAATTCCCCAAAAAATCCCAAAAATTCCCAAAAATTCCCCAAAAATTCCCCAAAAAATCCAAAAAAATTTCCCAAAAATTCCCCAAAAATTCCCCAAAAAATCCCAAAAATTCACAAAAATTCCCCAAAAATTCCCCAAAAAATCCCCCAAAAATCCCAAAAATTCCCCAAAAAATCCAAAAAAATTTCCCCAAATTCCCAAAAAAAGCCAAAATAATCCCCAAAAATCTCCCCAAAATCCCCAAAATTCCCAAAAAATTCCGAAAAAATTCCCAAAAAATTCCGAAAAAAATCCACAAAAAATCCCAAAAAATTCCCCAAAATTCCCAAAGAATTCCTAAAAAAACCTCAAAAAAATCCCCAAAATATTCTGAAAAAAATCCCAAAAAATCCCAAAAAAATTTCCAAAAAAACCCCAAAAAATCCCCAAAAATTCCTAAAAAATTCTCAAAAAAATCCCAAAAAATCCCAAAAATTCCACAAAAAAAAACCTCCAAAAAATCCCCAAAAATTTCTAAAAAATTCCGAAAAAATCCCAAAAAGATCCAAAAAATCCCCCAAAAAAATCCCCAAAAATCCCCCCAAAAAATCCCAAAAAAATCCCAAAAAATCCAAAAAAATTTCCAAAAAATTCCGAAAAAAAATCAAAAAAAAATCCCCCAAAAATTCCCCAAAAATTCCCAAAAAATCCCCCAATAATCCCAAAAAACACCCAAAAATTCCAAAAAAATCCCCCAAAAATTCCTAAAAAAACCTCAAAAAAATCCCAAAAAATAAAAAAAAAAATTCCAAAAAAACCTCAAAAAAAATCCCAAAAATTCCCAAAAATTTCCAAAAAATCCCCAAAAATCCAAAAAAAAAATCCAAAAAAAAATCCCAAAAAAATTCCTAAAAATCTCAAAAGAAACCCCAAGTTTCCCCCAAAATTCCCTAAAAATCCCCCAAAAAATCCCCCAAA